TGGCCAAAAGGCTTCGCAACGGATTTCCAGATCAGGGACAACTTACCACATGTGTCATTGAGGGCGGTAGTAAATCAGCAAGGAACTCAGAGAAAAAAACGACACATCGCAAGGGTATGGGTATGTGTTGAGATGTGTTGAGAAACGGGGGGGGGACTTTTTGAGTTCGATTCCAACCACAAAAGGGGATCCTCACAAAAAACAACTTAAAGCCCACATGAACCCCATGAGACGAAGCCAACCAACCACAAAATTTGGGATCCTCACAAAAATAACACCTTAAAACCCACATGAACCCCATGAGACGAAGCCAACCAACCACACAATTTGGATGAAGCCCATGAGACGAAGCCAACCAACCACACAATTTGGGATCCTCACAAAAATAACACCTTAAAACCCACATGAACCCCATGAGACGAAGCCAACCAACCACACAATTTGGGATCCTCGCAAAAATAACACCTTAAAACCCACATGAACCCCATGAGACGAAGCCAACCAACCACACAATTTGGGATCCTCACAAAAATAACACCACATGAACCCCATGAGACGAAGCCAACCAACCACACAATTTGGGATCCTCAGAAAGAAACAAGACACTTAAAACCCACATGGACCCCATGAGACGAAGCCAACCAACCACAAAATTTGGGATCCTCACAAAAATAACACCTTAAAACCCACATGAACCCCATGAGACGAAGCCAACCAACCACAAAATTTGGATGAAGCCCATGAGACGAAGCCAACCAACCACACAATTTGGGATCCGCAGAAAGAAAAAACACTTACAACCCACATGGACCCCATGAGACGAAGCCAACCAACCACAAAATTTGGGATTCTCAGGGAAGAAAAAAACACGCTTAAAACCCACATGGACCCCATGAGACGAAGCCAACCAACCACAAAACTTGGGATCCTCAGAAAGAAACAAAACGCTTAAAACCCACATGGACCCCATGAGACGAAGCCAACCAACCACAAAGTTTGGGATCCTCAGAAAGAAACAAAACGCTTAAAACCCACATGGACCCCATGAGACGAAGCCAACCAACCACAAAGTTTGGGATCCTTAAAAAAACAGCTTAAAACCCACATGGACCCCATGAGACGAAGCCAACCAAAAACAAAAAAACCTTAAAACCCACATGGACCCCATGAGACAAAGCCAACCAACCAGAAATTTGGGATCCTCCAGAATTCCATGTCATGCCACCTGGACCGAAGTCATGAGGCGAACGCACAAAGGCCATCGCCTGCTGCAAGGCGAATCAGCGTCCGACCTCCGCTTGTGTTTTTTTTGGCGAGGATGATGCAGCCCGGAGAAATGGAATGAGCCCGGGAATACAACCATTCTAGGGGTACCTCCCCCATTCTTTCCAGGGATCCTGATTTCTAGAAAACTTCCAGAATCCCAGGGAAAACGCTGGTAATTTAAAAGAACGATGGTTGCAAAGAATGGGGAATCAAGCCCTAGAACCATCCCTGACTCGGTGCTTTCTCCTTTATTCGGGATTTCCCAGGTTCACTCCATTTCTCATTCCCTACCTGTCGCACCACCAGCATCCCGGATGGTGGTTTCCCTTAAGGGGATCCCCAGGTTCATTCCCAAAACCCGCGGTCATTCCCTGAGCCGCAGCAAGTTTTGGAGCCTTGGCTTACGAAAGGCAGTCCTTGGGGCCCGCAGTGCTTCTGACCCAGTCGCTTTTCGCGCAGACTGCCGGGCTTGGCCCAAATCGATGTCCCAAGCATTTGAGGGGAAATGAAAAGACCAAGTTGCAAACTCCCAAGCTGATTCGGCTGCCTTTTGGAACCCCAAATTGCAGGGCTTCCAGTTGCCTATCTATAGTAGGTCAGGAAAACCCGCCAGAAAAGACACACCGCAAAATTCCCGGCAACCTTTGAAGCATCGAGCGTCAAGTCCAGATCCCGGCAGGTTCGAAGCCTTCAGATTGATACGGGCCATGAGCGTCAAAATATGACTTCGGACCCCAACATCGACTTCAGATCTCGTTTCTTGGCTTCAGATCTCAACCAACCTGACCCACATCTGGCAGTTGGCTCAGAGCAGCACGTCTGGCACTGCGACTCTGAGGTGGCCTGAGAGAGTGAAGTTCGATCCCAGAAGCCTGCAAAGAGAAACCAACTAAACTAGGTCCTCCAGTAGAGAGGCTAGAATAAGGGTACCCTTTTATTGTAGTCTATTTTAGTAGGGAAACCCTCCCCCCCAAGAAAAAAGGTAAAAGGGCACTACTGAGGAACCATCTGCGACTCAGAACCCTGTGACATGGACAAGCGCACCCATGTGGGCCCCATATCCCGTGGGACATTGAAGTGCACTGGTGAAAACTCACGTGTTGGTCATGGCCGCTTCCTTAATTCACCCTCTTTAGTGGTCTAAATTCTCGGATCGGGGGTCCATTTACGGGGGTTGCCAATCTGTTGAAAACCTCAGCCAAAAAGGGCAAAGAGATGGTCAATGCCCCTAAGG